TTGACAGGCAGAGTGGACAGTGAGAGAGAGACACAGAGAAAAAGGTCTTCCTTTGCCGTGGTTCACCCTCCAATGGCCACCGCGGCCGGAGCGCTGCCGCCGGCGCATCGCGCTGATCCGATGGCAGGAGCCAGGTGCTTATCCTGGTCTCCCATGGGGTGCAGGGGCCAAGTACTTGGGCCATCCTCCACTGCACTCCCGTGCCACAGCAGAGAGCTGGCCTGGAAGAGGGGCAACCGGGACAGAATCCGGTGCCCCGACCGGGACTAGAACCCGGTGTGCTGGCGCTGCAAGGCGGAGGATTAGCCTAGTGAGCCGTGGCGCCGGCCACCGATGTGCAAAATCTTATCTGAGATTCAAGGCATACACCTTCCAATTGTGAGCCTATGCAACTCAACCAAGTTATGTATTTCCAGCACACACTGGTAAAATAGGCATGGGCAATACGTTCCCATTCCAGAAGGAACTAGACGGGTATGAAGGGGGAATCAGCCCAGAGCAGACATTAAATCCTAAAGCTCCAACTCCAGCCACCCTGTGCACATTGCAAGAAAGGGGGTGGCCACCCAAGGCCTTGGCCAACGTTGTGTCCAGAGCTTTGCTGGTCGCAGGCCACCTGGTTCCTCTCTCTGGCTGGCTTTGCATGCTGCTTGCAGGAGAAGCACGCTGCATGTTGCCGTACCTTTCTGGTGTCATTGCTCCGGTCCCACTCTGTTGGCTCCACGAGGCACTGCCCCATCAGGGACTCTCCACGGGGCTGCTGACCCTGTGGCAAACTTCTGCCTCCCAGGCCTTCCTTTGAGATCCTGGTGGACATCCCCTTGTGCTCATAGCTCTCGCATTCTGCAGGCTTGCAAAATGAGCACTGCGTGGGTGCCCCCGAGGTCTGCAGCTCACATGGAGCTTGAGTCACGGCTGCAGCTGCTGAGCACTGCACCAAAAACAAGCAGCAGAACCTCGAGGTGGCCTTGGGTTTCGAGCCCAGGGAGGGAACCCGAGTGACCCCCGGAACCGTCATGACAGTGGCAGCCTTGACGGTTTCTCCCTCCGTCCATCCCTCCCTCCCTCTCTCTCTCTTCCTTCCTTCCTTTCTCCTCCTCCTCTTCCTCCTACCCTCCTCCTCTCCTCCTCCTTCTTCATTTAGGATTTATTTATTTATTTGAAAGGCAGAGTCACAGAGAGAGAGGGAGACAGCGATCCTCCATCAGCTGGCTCACTCCCCAAATGGCCTCAACAGCTGGGGCTGGGCCCAACTGAAGCCAGGAGCCTGGAACTCCATTCGGGTCTCCCACATGGGTGGCAGGTGCCCAAGTCATCTGCTGCTGCTTTCCCAGGAAGGGAGCTAGATCGGAAGTGGAGCAGCCGGAACTACAACTGGTGCTCATATGGGATGCCAGCATTGCAGGCAGCGACTTAACCTGTTGCACCAGGATGCTGGCCCCTCAAAGTGGTTTCTGTAGCTCACAGCTTTGGTGCAAGGCTGAGGACCCACATCTGGTGAGGGCCTTCTTGCTGACAGATCTAGGGAGGCACCGAGCACCACATGGCATGTGTGTTTCCACTGAGCTCTCTCTCTCTCATACCCATAGTCAGTCATGGAGCCCCCGTCCTGATGACCTTATCTAATCCAAATCGCTTCCCAAGGCCCCACCTCTAAACTCCATCACTGGGTTAAGTCTATCTTTTTTTTTTTTTTTTGACAGGCAGAGTGGACAGTGAGAGAGAGAGACAGAGAGAAAGATCTTCCTTTGCCGTTGGTTCACCCTCCAATGGCTGCAGTGGCCAGCGCGCTGCGGCAGGTGCACCACACTGATCCAAAGCCAGGAGCCAGGTGCTTCTCCTGGTCTCCCATGGGGTGCAGGGCCCAAGCATTTGGCCCATCCTCCACTGCACTCCCGGGCCACAGCAGAGAGCTGGCCTAGAAGAGGGGCAACCAGGACAAAATCTGGCGCCTCGACTGGGACTAGAACCCGGTGTGCCGGCGCCGCAAGGCGGAGGATTAGCCTATTGAGCTGCGGCAATGAACAGCCCAAGTCTATCCTTTTAATAGCTCGAAGTGTAGATCAAATGTCAACACATGAACCTTAGGGGAAGACACTCAAGCTCTATCCAAACCCCAGCACTCCCAAGATCAGACGCTTTGTTGTGGAGAGGTCTTTGGTTTGCTGGTTCGCTTTAGGCAGGGCGATGTGGACCGGGTCTCAGACGGGAGCCCCCAGGGAGTGCTGGGGTGATCTTTGATGTCAATGGCTAGGTTGCAACACAGATGTTATTGACATTTTAAAGATATGTGTACTCTCTTCCTAACCTCAACTGAGAAAAACAAGATACTGGTTTATTTCCAAACGTGTTGAGTGTTCCAGAACATGTTTGTGGGTACAGGATCAGCTTGATTCAATATTGACTTTCAAAAATGTGAAAGTTTATTTTCACTTAGAAGAAAGGAGGGAAAGGTGAGATGGAAAAACTCACTGCTGAACTTAGAATTTTCTGTTTGGAAGATAAAGAAAAAAATGTTTTTCAAACTTTCTGATTTTCTGAGACTCTATATTGCGATTTTTTTTCTTTTTTGAACCAGCCTAAGATTATTTCCAAGACTGAATTCGTTGATTTGCTTTAAGAAATAATCTTAACCAGATTTTATTTTCTTAAAAGGAATTTAGGAAAATTTTTCAATGAGAGATTACACTGACATCGGTTATATAAATGACCCAAATATCCTCAACTTCGCCAACCCTTGTTCCATCATTTTCTTAAATTGCAAAGTGACCAAATCCAGATTTTTTTAAAGATTTATTTTATTTATTTGAAAGGCAAAGATACACAGCGAGAGAAAGGGACAGAGAGAGAGAGAGAGAGAGAGAGAGAGATCTTCCATTTGCTGGTTCACTCCCCAAATGGCCACAATGGGTCAGGCCGAAGCCGGGAGCCGGGAGATTCTTCCGGATCTCCCCTGTGGGTGCAGGGCCCAGATACTTGGTCCCTCTTCCGCTGCTTTCCCAGGCACATTAGCGGGGAGCTGAATTGAAAGTAGAGCAGCTATGACTCGAACTAGCACCCTATGGGATGCTTAGCGATGACTTAACCTACTACCTCACCATGCCAACCCCAAATCCAGATCTTTCATGAATGAGGGAGGTGCAGCCTTTCACCAGGGCCCCTTCCCCAGATGCTTCTGCCCACTCCCAAGGAAGGTGCACCTGTCCCAGGGCCCTTTCTGGCCAGCCTCGTCACCTCCAGAGACCGCCAACCAAGTCCACTCAGAGCACATGGCTGCCCCTTCCTCCAATCTGCCAAACCCAGCACTCAGGCTTTAAGGGGTAAAACAAAGCAAAAACTGAGGGAGAGGAACTGCAGCACAGGTGGGCCTCTGTCCTTTCTCCTTCCTGAGTCCATACCCTCAGCTGGCCTCCTCCCCCTCTTCATAGGACATCGTCAGCAGTAGCTGCCTTCTCACACAGAGCAGCTCACCCCCTTGGCGCCTCAGTTTCTCCATTCCAGAGGGGAATAAAAAAAAATTATTTATTTGAAACTCAGAGTTACACACAGAGAGAAGGAGAGGCAGAGAGAGGCAGAGAGAGGCAGAGAGAGAGAGAGAGAGAGAGAGAGAGAGAGAGGTTTTCCATCTGCTGGTTCACTCCCCAATTGGCTGCAATGGCCGGAGCTGCACTGATCCAAAGCCAGGCGCCAGGAGCTTTTTTCAGGTCTCCCACATGGGTGCAGGGGCCCAAGGGCTTGGGCCATCTTCCACTGCTTTCCCAGGCCATAGCAGAGAGCTGGATCAGAAGAGGAGCAGCATCCCATATGGGATGCCAGCACTGCAGGTGGTGGCTTTACCTGCTAGGCTATAGTGCTGGTCTCAGAGAGGAATTTGAGTTTTATGGTTGAATAACCCAGAGACCCATGGAAGGTCCTCCCCCCGCCCCTCCCCACCGAAAGGCAGGCTGGTCCCAGTGGTGAGTTGTGCTTTAACCACAGTCTAAACCAGAAAATGATGGCCACTGTGAACTAGCAGCTTACTCAGGTATATTCACAAAACATTGTGGTCCAGGAGCAGCACCTGTCGCAGGCAAACCTGATCTGTAGGGGCTCTGCTCTGGTTACGGGGCATTGGATGATACAAGAGCCCATCCTGCTCCGCCTGGTCCTGGCTGTGACAAGGACCCTTGCTGACGCCCTGGAAGCCAGGAGCAGCCCTTCCCTCGTCCACTGCCGGCCAGGCTTAGCTGTGTCACTTCTGACAGCCACAATCAGTTCTTGTCAGTTTTTACAGCCAAGCTTTCATTAGATCTGTCCCACCTGCATTTCCCGCCTTCCCGTGGGTTGCTCCTTCTCTCTTTAATCATCATTTCAGAGAGGAACCCTGGGTGATCACTTCCCAGGGGTTTCCATATCTGGAATGTCTTTATTTTTTTGTCATCACTTATGTGAGCACTTGGTTGGGTACAGCATTATGGTTTTATAGCTATTTTCCCTTAAAACTTTGGATATGTGACTTTATCATCTTTTTGGGAACCCAGTCATTGTTGCTCCTTTGTGATAATCTACTTTTCTTTTCTCTGGCAGCTTTTTTTTTTTTTTTTTTTGGACAGGCAGAGTGGACAGTGAGAGAGAGAGAGACAGAGAAAGCGCTGATCCGATGGCAGGAGCCAGGTCCTTCTCCTGGTCTCCCATGGGGTGCAGGGCCCAAGCACTTGGGCCATCCTCCACTGCACTCCCAGGCCACAGCAGAGAGCTGGCCTGGAAGAGGGGCAACCGGGACAGAATCCGGTGCCCCAACCGGGACTAGAACCCAGTGTGCCGGCGCTGCAAGGTGGAGGATTAGCCTAGTGAGCCGCGGCGCCGGCCTCTCTGGCAGCTTTAAAAAGATCTCTCTCTCTCGATCTCTCTCTCGATCTCTCTCTCTCCCTCTTTCCCTCCCTCCCTCCCATTTTAGGTCTAGAGCAAAGTTGCAGAGGTGTGGTCTGTGTCCCTGGCGTCATTGTCTTACTTTACCATAGGACACTCACCAGAACTACAGAACCCACGTTGGCACCACTGGTCCTCCCATGGAAGGAATGCCCATCACATGGAGTCTCTGTGCCTCCCAAGCCATCTCTGCCGGGCCAGCTGCTCCAGCGTTCCTTGGCAGATTTCAGGAGGGCTGGTCAGGTGTGTTCTGGAACATCCCTTAGCCGGGTGTGTGTGATGTTTCTTTCATGATTAGACTGGGGTGACGGGTTGTGGGAGAAATGCCACAGAGGTCAAGTGCCCTTCTCACCCCATCAAGTGACCCGATACCCGTGTGACCCGTTCCTGCAGAAGCAACCAGCATGGGAAAATGTCAAGTATTTTCCATCTGAATAAACTCTAGCTTTATTACTTCCTGTGGATGTGGCATATTTTCTTCTTAATTCTACTTCCTCCCATGCTTTTCAAGGAGGGCATGTTTTTTTTAAAAGATTTTATTTATGTATTTGAGAGGTAGAGTTAGAAAGAGAGAGAGAGAGAGAGGCCTTCCATGAGAGAGAGAAAGAGAGAGAAAGGTCTTCCATCCTCTGGTTCACTCCCCAGACAGCTGCAATGGCTGGAGCTGGGCCAATCTGAAGCCAGGAGCCAGGAGCTTCTTCTGGGTCTCCCACGTGGATGCACAGGCCCAAGGACTTGGGCCATCTTCCACTGCTTTCCCAGGCCATAGCAGAGTTGGATCGGAAGTGGAGCAGCTGGGACTAGAGCTCACACCCGTTTGGGATGCCGGCGCAACAGGCAGAGGCTTAGCCGACTGTGCCACAGCACCAGCCCCAAGAAGGGCACATTTTCAAGCTTGGCAAAAGTTTAAAGACAAAAGAGGAAGTGCCTATTTACACCAAAGTGTTTACACGTTTTTTACCTGGCTAAATAGAGTTGAAAAAAAAATCCACAAGTATATTCAAGAAAAGTTTAAATAAACCCACATATTAACCTTAGGCTAAGTAATGCCATCATATTCTTACACAAAATGCCCTCTGAGAATCCTGCCGCAGACAGAAGCTTAGGTAGATTATGGTTTCCACCTGGCCTGATGTTTATTTTGTCCGTCTGCATTCTGAGAATCAATACACTCATATTTAGTTACAGGATAAGGATTGTCATATTAATTATGGAAAAGATAAATACAAGGCTGGTGTTGAGCTGCTCACGGCGATGCCGGCATTCCATATCAGAGCACCAGTTCAAGTCCCAGCTGCTCCACTTCTCATCCAGCTCCCTGCTAATGTGCCTGGCAAAGCAGTGGGAGATGGCCCAAGTGCCTGGGTCCCTACCACTCCACGTGAGAAACCTGGATGGAGTTCTTGGCTCCTGACTTTGACCTGGCCCAGCCCTAGCCGTTTCAGAAGTCTGGAGAGTGAACCAGAGGATGGAAGATCTTTCTCTGTCTCTCCATCTCTCTGTCTCTCTACCTATCAAATAACTAAATCTTAAAATAAACGATAAATAACAATTACTTAAAAGATTTTAACTTTACTTCTGTCTTCATTAGTGATGATGATGGAAGATGGATTTTATTCCAGTTGTAAAACTTCTTAATACATTTTCCTCCATTTGTGTTTTGGGGTCAAAAATCAGTGAGACCAAAAGTCAGACAAATGAGTGAAAAGGAGTGCGGAGTTGTGATCAGCCACACTCGGCAGAACCCTGTATTCTTCTGCATCATTTACACATAACAAACTGTGCAGGTGGAAATTCATTTGCGGTTGGGAATCGCAATTGCACAATTTCGCATGTTTCCTCTGGGTTTGTCAGGATTGACAAGTCGAGGAGGGTGGGTATTTGGCACAGGTGTTAGGACACTGCTTGAGGCATCTTCGTCCCATCTTGGAGTACCTGGGTTCCAGTCCTGACTCCACCTCCAATTCTAACTTCCTCCTGACGCACATCCTGGGAGGCAGAGGGTGATGGGTTGAGTATTAGAGTCCCTGCCACCCATGTGGGGGACCCGGATTGAGTTACGAGCTCCTATCTTCAACCTGGCCCAGTCCAGGCTGTTATGGGTATCTGGGGGTGTAACCAGGGATGAGAGCTCTCTCTCATATAAATATTTTTAAATATTTATTTATTTGAAAGCAAGAGTTACACACAGAGAGGAGAGGCAGAGAGAGAGAGAGAGGTCTTCTATCCGATGGTTCACTCCCCAGATGGCCACAACAGACGGAGCTGCGCCGATCTGAAGCCAGGAGCCAGGAGCTTCTTCCAGGTCTCCCACACGGGTGCAGGGGCCCAAGCACTTGGGCCATCTTCCACTGTTTTCCCAGGCCATAGCAGAGAGCTGGATGGGAAGAGGAGCAGCTGGGACTTGAACTGGCGCCCATATGGGATGCGGCACTGCAGGTGGTGGCTTTATCTGCTACGCCACAGCGCCGGCCCCTCCTGTTCTTCTTGAAAGTGTAACAGACCACATTCCAGTTTCTACTTCCCAAGGCAAGCCCAAGTGGAAGCACTTGCAGATTTTAAGTTACGATGGCTTTTGTACAGAAAAGCCACAATTTGGGTTTGTTGTCAGGAAGGGATCCCAAACACGGCCAGCTCCAACATCCACTCCCGGTCCTGGCCTTGATGCTGCTGGCGGAGATGCGGTCTCTGCCTGGGTAGAGAGAGAGGAGGTCACAGTGTGGCGGAAACATGACAGAGCCGAGTCCGCTGGTCAGGACTGCTGTCCTGAGCTGTGGGACCCTGGAGAGTCCCTGTTCCGTTCTGGTCCCCCGGGGGATTTGGATATAGCGCGCTCATTCCCTTGTCCACACAGCAGGTGTGTTTTCGAGCTGTTGCTATGTGCCAGCGACTTCTCCCGGGTACCAGACCCTAACTGCAGGGACAGTGATGCCCAGCGTCTACCTGGAAGCCAGACCCGTGACTGACAAAGCTGCAGGTGTTTGATGCAATGGTTAAGATGCTGCTCGGATGTCCACGCCCCACATTAGAGGACCAGGGCTCCAGATCCAGGTGTCCTGATTCCAGCTTCCTGCTGGCCCCACCCCGAACCGGATGGGGCAAAGCGAGGGGACAGGAACCAGAATTTAGCGAAAGCCCTAGAAACAGCTTCAGCTGTCAAGGGCCTCCGGAAAGGAGCCGTGCGAACATAGACAGGCAGGGAGCCAGTGATGAGCGTTGTTTTCCACCCTCCATCTACTCCCACATTCCTCTTTGACCGAACACACCTGGGAGGCCGAGAATAAGGAATCTGCTGATACACTCCTTGAAGACCAGCGTTGTGGGACACAGAGGCAAGTGCCGAGCAGGCGGTGGATCCAGGGCACCACAGAGAACATCTAGCTCTCTGCTGGTCTTAGCTTTCCTCCCATCCTCCCAATACTTGCTAGTCACCTCATGGTCTCAACAGGGCTGCTGAACTCTAGGCATCAAGCACATGTTCCAGCCAACAGGAAGGGAAGGCGAGGAGGCAGAAGCTGCCAGCTGACTTTCTCACACACAGCGTGGTCACGGCTCTTTCTCTTAGGGCTGTCACACGGGAGTCATCAATTCTGAGGGACATTTTCTAGCACCAGACCAACCATCGAGGGTGTAAGAATTAGAACACTCAGGTAAAGCTGCCGCCTGCAGTGCCAGCATCCCATATGGGCACCGGTTCCAGTCCTGGCTGCTCCACTTCCCATCCAGCTCCCTGCTAATGTGCTTGGGAAAGCAGTAGAACATGGCCCAGGGCGTTGGGCCCCTGCACCCATGTGGGAGACCCAGAAGAAGCCCCGGCTCCTGGCTTCAGATCGGCCCAGCTCTGGCCATTGCAGCTACTTGGGAGTGAACCAGCAGATGGAAGACCTCTCTCTCTCTCTCTCTCTCTCTCTCTCTCTCTCTTTGGCTCTGCCTCTGTAACTCTGCCTATCAAATAATATCTAAATAATTAAATAAGAATTAGAATATCCATCAAGTCTGCTCAGAGAAAGTGGGTAGTAAATAAACCTAACTAAATGCCCAAACACAGGAAGCTGTGCTATGATAATATATTAAACCCTGCCAGGATTTACAAAGGGACAACCAGAAATAGGTTACGACCTTAAAGTAAGCACTGGAACTGGGTTTTCCAGTGAGGAAGTTGTAATGCATCTTCCTTGCTATAATGCAGTTGGGAGATGATCTGCCCTCAGCATCTAGCAAAAGCACCACTTTTTTTTTTAAAGTTTATTTATTTGAAAGGCAGAGTTACAGAGAAGCAGAGGCAGAGAGAGAGAGCGAGAGAGAGAGAGAGAGGGAGAGAGAGAGAGAGAGGTCTTCCTCCGCTGGTTCACTCCCCAGATGGCCACAACGGCCGGAGCTGCACCGATCCAAAGCCAGGAGCCAGGAGCTTCTTTGGGTCTGCCACGCGGGTGCAGGGGACCAAGGACTTGGGCCATCTTCTACTGCTTTCCCAGGCCACAGCAGAGAGCTGGATGGGAAGTGGAGCAGCAGGGTCTTGAACCGGTGCCCACATGGGATGCCGGCACTGCAGGTGGCGGCCTTACCCACAGCGCCGGCCCCACCTTTCCAAGCAGAATTGCTGGTGGTACTGCTACAGGATTTCCCAGTGACACAGAAGTCCTTGGAGTAGGAATCTGAATGCGGCCTTCTGCTCCCCTTAGTGGATGAACTTAGCCAGGGTTTGTGGTGGGCCTGCTTTTAGCAGGTGTCCCGGGGGAAACAGGACAGAACAGGCTGCCTCCTCCGCCCAGGAGCCCACAGACTTGTCTCACGCATGCACGCACACACACACGCTTCAGCCAGGTTGAATGAGAACGCGGGAGCAGGGATTGTGGCCGGCGGCGGGGAGAAGCCGTGGCCCCAGGGAAAGGTGCCGTGGAGCTGCCCTGTCACTCTGTCACTCCTGCACGGGGTCCCCAGAGCAGGCAGCCCAGGCGTCCAGGACAGAGGCACAGCCGCTGGACCCCCCAGACACACAAGCAACGGGACTGTGGGGCTGGCAGTCCGGGTGGTGATGAGAACGCACCCACCTTACTCATGTCAGATTCTTTATTGATGATCTTGAAATATCTTTGTCCTGTCCAGGGTGGTGGGGGCCTTGATTCTCTCTCTCTCTCTCTCTCTCTCTCTCTCTCTCTCTCTCCATGCACGATGCTGCTCCCTGGGTCAGCAGCCTCTGTCATTTGTGGTGAGTCTGAAGGGCACGTGTGTGTGTGTGTGTGTGTGCATACACCTGGTGTGTGTGTGTGTGTGTGTGTGCATACACCTGGTGTGTGTGTGTGTGTGTGTGTGCATACACCTGGTGTGTGTGTGTGTGTGTGTGTTCATGTCCCAGACTGAGATACTCTGGATTGGATGATTGTACCTGGGCCCAGGACTAGAAGTGGAGATTCCCATGGGCCCCAGCCACACTCCGGCTTTCCTGTGATCCTAACAGTGACTTACTCCACCCAGGGCGGTCGGGCAGGAAACTCCAAGGTCAGCTGGCGTGTCTGACCTCACTGCCCCTGGTCCCGCCTCGCTGTGATGGTGTGTGAGGCACACCCCACAGCTTCCTGATTCTCCGTCTTTTGGCTTGAAGAGCCCTCTGGGGCCATTTGGGGCTCCTTTCTCTTCACGTGATGTTAGGACAGGGCAAGCCGAACAACCTTCTTGAATAACCCAAGCGCTCCAAGCTCAGCGCTAGGCCCTTCTAGAGCGCGTCCTCACTTAACCTCATCTTCACTTGGAGAATGAACAGGCCGAGGGGGCAGGCTCAGAAAGGTTTAGTGATTGCCCCAAGGTCACACATCGAGATTCGAATCCAGATTTAACCAACCAAAACATGGAGCTGTCTCTGTTATATTCTGCTGGTTTTACAAATCACGGTCCCCAGCGAGACTTACCCGGGGAGCGTGGCTGTCTTCTCTTCTGTGACGTCAGTTCCGGTGGGGCAAGAGCAGACCCGCACAAAGACAGACGCAGGTGCAAGCAGGAACGTTTTTCACCTGAACTTCCAGCCCAGGCCGGGACACCTTGGCATGGGTGAGGTGAGGAAGAGGCAGGGGGCAGCCTGCTGTTGCCAGGAGAGCAGAGGTCTTGTAGCATGTTTGTGTGAGCATGCCTATGTGTGCATGTGTGTGCATGTGTGTGTGTGTATGTGTGTGTGTGAGACAAGACAGTTGAAGAGTGAAAACGTGCGGCTGCTTGGGGAAGGCCTAAAGGGGGAAGGACTTTATTCTTGGCCCCTCCCTCTCCCTAGCACCTGTTCATACACACATACACGTACACACACACTCATAGTTGCTTACTTATACTCTCATACATCGTCCCACACATTTGCACACAGGCTCGCTCGCACACAACACACACCCATACACACTCAAATGTCTTCTCATAGGCTTGTTTGGGTGCACCCACTTTCATGCCCACCCACCCACACACACACACACACAAGCCACCTTGACTACGTCACACGTTCGTCTGGGCCTCCTTGGAGGCCATTGTGGGTGCCAAGAAGCAGGCCAGGACAGTGCTCATTAAGATAGCAGTGCCACCTCCTACTTCCTAGGTGACCGTGTGGCAGGACGAGAGAAGCCCTCCTGACCCTTGAGGGAGGACTGGGGCTGGCAGGTGGCTCGTGGGGCAGGACGATGGCAGGCAGTTTGGCAGCGATGGGGCTTCACAGAGAGTTGGGGAAGGCAAGCTGGCCTGGCTGCCAAGTGGACACACAGCAAGGCTGAGACCAGCCCTGTCCACGGCCAGATGCGCGGCAGCACCATCAGACGTGCGGGCCCTGAACGGGGTCCCAACTCCCTCACCTCCGTCACTTCTGGTAGTTGGCTTGGCCTGAGGAATAATCAGGTGATTGGGCGCCCGTGTTGTACCCTCCTCCTCCTCCATCCCTTCCCTGAACTCACTTCACTTGCGAAAACAAACTACAAGAAGTTAGCAGACAATGGACAGCTGATCCCCTGAAGAACAGGTTCTCTGGGCCAAGCAGGTGACCCAGGAAAAGGTGTGGTGAGGCCGCGGGCAGCGAGCAGGACACAGTGGGGGAGGGTGGGTGGCAGCCTGCGGGAGACAGATGTAGATGGTGGGGCAGCACTGGTCACTTCTGGGATGAGATGCCCCTTATCTGAAGTCCACGAAGATGGGAGATGCTGGTAGCAATGCTAAGCATAAGGAAATTCGTTTAAGTTTTAGATGTGTTCTGAAGTTGGAGATCAGGGGGGAGTCCGAGATAATGCAGATGGGAAGGAGAAGGGAGCAAAAGACAGGTGCACCCAGGGGCGATGCGGTGCTGGACAAGGATTCACTGGTCTGCCAGGCTCCGGCCAGCAGCCACAGCCGAGACGAAGCATCGGAGACATCTACACTCAGATGTCTTCATCTCCTATTCCCTCTGGAAGGAGAAAAGCTGATGCTGGACAAAAGCCAAGTGCAGCCTTGACCTTGACGTGCTATCATCATAACTGATAATTTGGCAGCTGACCGGTTCTGCAGCTCAGCTTCGCCGTGGACTGTGTAAGACCTACAAATCAGCACATCTGGAAGGAGGGAGCCCAGTGTCCTGTCCTCTGGGGCTCGCAGCAAAAGATCTATTCTGACATTAGCAGGTCAAAGGGGCCCGTGTTGACACTAATGGAGGAATCAGTTTCCACGCAAGGCTCTTTGTTGTCACAGCGCCGGTGAACAGAAGAGAAAAGGAATTTACTGTTGGCCACTGGCTAGCTCGCAGACTGGAGTCGGCACGACAACCAAGCTCACAGCTGCCGGGGCAGGGAGAACACCAGGAGAAATGGTTCTTCAGGACCAGAAGAGAAGTTCTGTCACCTACTCAGGTGCACCTGCACACCGGGCCAGGAACACGGTCGGGAGCTGGCAGCTTGCTCCACATCCATCCCATTCTGCCTGTGGGAAGAGCTGCTGTGGTCCCAGCTGTCCACACCTCTGGGCGTCACTAGCTTTCAGTGGGTCGGGAAGGCAGCCTGGCCAGGCGAGTCAGTGGATTGGGGAAATTCTGAAACACTAGAAAGGATTTCAGATCCCGGGTGACCATGGAAGAATGACGAGTGGGTGGATAGATGTCCGCGCTGCGAGGAGAGCTCTGAGTCCAGGAGAACCTGCTAACGGGGGCAGTGCAAGGGCGAGAGGTTCCTATGGGAGCTCGTGGCGGCAAGTGGCACGGGGAGCGTGCAAACTGGGGAACGGACGGAACCAGCCAACATGGCGGGGCGCCTCGTGGGTGAGCTCCACCATGCGGCAGAGCGTGGAAAGTGAAGGGATCACCCGCTAAGGGAAGCAGGTGTTCCAAGCAACATCTTTTTTTTTTATATACAGGCAGAGTGGACAGTGAGAGAGAGAGACAGAGAGAAAGGTCTTCCTTTTGCTGTTGGTTCACCCTCCAATGGCCGCCGCAGCTGGCACGCTGCGGCCGGCGCACCGCGCTGATCTGATGGCAGGAGCCAGGTGCTTCTCCTGGTCTCCCATGGGGTGCAGGGCCCAAGCACCTGGGCCATCCTCCACTGCACTCCCGGGCCACAGCAGAGAGCTGGCCTGGAAGAGGGGCAACTGGGACAGAATCCGGCGCTCCGACCGGGACTAGAACCTGGTGTGCCGGCGCTGCAAGGCGGAGGATTAGCCTAGTGAGCCGCGGCGCTGGCCCAAGCAACATCTTAACCACTGCACCAAACGCCTGCCCCTGTGCGTCTCTTCTCCCAAAGGGGAACACGTGTTTGCAAGTCGGCCGCCAAGCAGCTCCCCAGGCAAGCAGTTGAATCCGCCGGT